AGAATAACTTCAGGGCGTTAAATTAAATAAATTAGAAATCGCTTTTATAGACAAAAACGTAACTCGCGAACCAAAAAAATTAGCAATTACGACCATTGGATTTATTCTCGCCCTACGTGCAGAGTCGAAAGGCTTCTGCAATGGCCAGAACTGCTCAATTGACCGATTCTCGGGCTTTCTCTAGTACCCAGAGGGATTCGAGTAGTTAGTTCTACATAGAGGGCAGCGAGTTGGATGAAATGGCGCCACGAGGTGGCACTGTTCGCGCTTCGCGCGTATATCCGGGCTGCAGATCGTCGAGTTTATAACGTAGAATTATGATTTCTCCGGTATAGTTGCTCTACAAAGCTGAAATTACCCCGAAATTTCCTAATTAAAAAATGCTTCGACCAGCCGGTGGCATGCTACATAACACTGCTACGCAATAACACCGACGGCAGCCATCGACGCAAGGAAATATTATGTCTGTGCGTGTGTGTGTGTATGTGTGTGTGTGCGTGTGCGTGTGCGTGTGCGTGTGCGTGTGCGTGTGCGTGTGCGTGTGCGGTGTGTGTGTGTGTTCGTAGAATTCCTCACCACTGCTGGCGAAATAAAGCTTTTGCCCGTCACATATGCTGTGGCGCTGTATCTGCGATGCTGTTTTCCGCCAAGCATCGCAGTCGGTCTACGAACGGTCACTGTACAAACATATAATAATCGTACACATTCGCAGCACGTGAGCATTCACCGACAAGTAATAACTGTAAGAACTGCGAAGCCGGGCACTTAATTGGGCCATTTAAATAATGACATAATAGTAAATAAACACAAGTTTTATTTACTACCAGTTGTTTCGTGTATATATTCTCTCATAATTTCACACAAATGCTTGTTCAAATACTGCTCTACAACACGCCAGTCCTGTCGCATGCACGCCACTGCCTACTTATAAAACACAACCTTTATATACATAAGCATTATCACGGGCGTGTACAGGAATTGTACCAGGGGGGGGGGGACTAACCATAACTCAAACTTGCGAGCACGCGAAGGGGGGGTCTGAGAAAAAATTTGAACTTAGATCTCCTTAGATGCGTTTTCTGCGCGAGCAGGTGGGGTGGTCCGGACCCCCTGGACCCCCCCCCGTACACGCCCCTGATTATGACATTGGTAATAACTACTACTGTATTTGTTTTGATTTACTATATTTTTTATTGAAAAGGCTTTAGTGCATGTGACATCGAGAAGTATCTCCGTCCGCGTTTCACACATCGACACTAGCACTGGCACGCGCTAACCCGTTCAAAATGGCATATGCACTGTAAATTGTGAACTTAACAACCGTGTGGCGCTATCTACTGCTTGATATACAGGTAGGTAATGCGACAGCTTAGGGTCGGACTTTTTGACACGTTGCTGATTCTACCGAGACGTTCGCCGGCCTAATTTCACCACACCGTGAAGCTAATTATAACAACCACCGACACCTATTACCCGTAATGCTTTTCGCAGGTAGGGACTAGAGGAAGTTTATCTCCGCATATACATGCTCTATTTTATGGCATACATTTTATAATAATCTTCTGTCGTCTCTTCTTAAAATGCCTGATGCCTGAATATCTATTGTCTAAGTACGCTTCCCTAGCCTAACTTCACAGGTATTCAACACTATAAAACTGTTTTACTCAACATTCCATTCCCAAATTTCTCAACGTTAAAACATGCCTTTGTCTCGGTATCATTATCGTAATCCTATCCATATAAAATGATAAATTCATAGAAATTTACAAGTTATAACTTTTGATGGGATACAAAGCCCCCCAAGTTAATCTAGTAATGGATTGCTCGCTTGGTCTTCAGACCACAGAAATTTCATCTTTCCCTTTGTCCCACCCGTCGCCAAGCATTACGCACGCTAGGTGTCGGGGCTTGTTGTATGGTAATGACAACGATATGTTGCGGAAGGCATCGCAGCGCCACCTCTCAGCAGAACGAGTAACAGTGGCCGTTAAAACTGGCGGCTGGCAAACTGACACGGACACGGACACGATCCCTACATGCTAGAAACACAGTGTACG